ATATATATATATACACACACACACACACACACACATTGTGGTGCAGTTAATTATTTAATATGGCTGTTCTGGCCATAGTCTCTGTAAACTCCTGCCAAGTGATTGGGTGGCACTGTGCAGATAAGGTGCTTGTGGCCCACCAAGGGAAATGGATAATTTGCTGCTAATGCAAATAAGGTGTATGGGAGCTTGACAAGGGGATTGGTCAGTTTTGCCATGCCAGAGGTGGACGGGGGACCTCATGACCATTACAAAAGAAGAGCTGGGTGCAGCGTGTCATTTGGACCCAAGGTCCCTGCACTAGGAGTCTCCTAGAACCAGGAGATCAAGGTGATGACATTAACAAGAGGACAGAGAGAGGGGGTGGCAGAGAAAGGCTGGCAACAGAGGCAATAGAGACAGTACACTGGCAGGAGATAGCACAGTGGGTGTGCCAACCTCAAGAGTGAGAGTGGCAGAACTCCCCACTGCTCTTGAGTTGATTCTCACTTAGGGACCCTAAAGGACAGAGTAGTAGGCTTAAGACAGAGCCAATCCCAGAGCAGGAAGGAATCTCAATACCATTAAGAAAGAAGAGCCAGGAATGGAGTGTGTCCTTTAGACTGTGATCTCGGCACTAAGAGCTTCATAGACCCAGGAGACAGAGAGCTGTAACATGAGAGGCAGCGAGAGAAAGAAGCAGCAGCAGAGGAAGAGAGGTGGCACAGCCAGGAGCCTAGCAGCGGATGGCGCAGTGTGCTTCTCAGGCCACAGAGCAAGGAGGCTGAGTGCCATCGGGAAGAAGGCTCGCTGATGGAGTCCAGTGCCTCCAGACACTTGACATAGCTAGGCTTACCAAGTCACAGAGGGACAGCTGAGGACTGTCAGGCCAAGGCTTCCTGGCAGAGTGGGGCTCCTCCAGGCACTTATAGGCAGAACTAAAGAGCTTTGTAACACCTGCTTGAGCAAGGCAGGGTCTGAGGGATGAGAGGCCAAGGAGCTGAGGGCCAGAGAGAGCCCTGCCTGCAGGCATGGCTGAGAAAAAGCTGTTCTGGTCAAAGAACTGTATCCTGAATTGTAACCTGTCCATCCCTAATAAACCTCACAACTGTGAGTATTTTTTTGTGTAGCCATCACAACAAATTTTCAAGCCTGGTGGGAGAAGTGGAGAGGGCCATGGGATGGTTGGTCGGTGTCAGAATTGGTCAAAAGTTTGGAGGGAGGAAACATACTTGATCTCCACCTCATAAGAATCAGCCTTGGGCTGTTGGTGTTGATTCTCCTCATTTGTGAAGTTAGAGGAGCTCAGGTGCCTTCATAGGCCATTATTACACAGAGATCCTGGTAGGAGTCAGTCCCACTCTTTTTATTTATTTATTTATCAAATTGTGATTTGGGTGAAAGTTCACAGAGCAAATTCACTTTCCATACAGCAGCTCACATACACTTTGTCTCATGACATTGACTGCAATTTCCCACAATGCAACAGCTCCCCTCCCCCTTCCTCCCATCAGTGTCAGTCTTGTATTCCAATTCTGCGTGAGGGGAGCATTTCAGGGGGTTAGTCAAGAGGATATAAAGCCTGGGACCTGCTCATGATAGCTCCTTTGACTGGAAACACCATTTTAAAAAGATCCCCAAAAAATCTAGTCCTCTATTGGACAGAGGGAAATAAACTCAGTGCTGAAGATGCACAAGGAAACTCGCCCAATTTGAATATGTCACTGGGTGGAGAGAAACAGCCTTGCTTTCCTCCCAGCCCATGTGACTAAAATCTTTATTTAATGGACATGCAGAGCACTCTGTTCAAGAAACGTAGAAGGCAGATTCTGTTCATGCAAACACGAGACCATGATAAAAACCAACCACATACTCTGTTCATGCAAACACGGGACCATGATAAAAACCGACCACATACTCTGTTCGTGCAAACACGGGACCATGATAAAAACTGACCACGTATTCTGTTCATGCAAACATGGAATAATGATAAAAATTGACCACATATTTGGCCATAAAGCAAGTCATGTATCACACACAGTGTCGTTCTCTGACCCTTAAGTTAGCACTTAAGTTAGAAATAAATTATAAAAAGATACCTAGGCAAACACCAAACTACTCAGTAATCCATGAATAAAGTACTATGTATTTTAAAAATTGAATAATGAAAATTAACCAAATTTTGGATGCAATTTAAGTACTTCTTTGCTCTATGGGATATTTCAAATTTATTTCTGTGGTGAAATGAGCTCCTTTCTATGGCCTTTTGCCGTAGTTCTTTGGGAAAACAGTTTGAGAGATTTTCCCCCTAAGCCCTGAGGAGTTACCTTTGCGCTCCTTTTCTACCCTAGAAGGTTTGTTACTTTGGTCCAGGTTGATTGATATTTCCTGTGTTAGCTGTATGGCAACTACATATTCAACCTGTGGTTTGAGTTTATGCACCTTGTAGGGATTGGTCAATATGCTTATGCAAAGCAAGTGAGTGTGGCCTACAAGAGGGGATTGGTTAGTTTGTGTCCTTGGTGGGAGGGCCCTGACTTGAAATCGACCAGAGGTTTGCTTATATATGTAGCCAACCCCTGTCTGAGGTTTGCAGAGAGGAAGGAAAGAATAAAGCAGGAAAAAAGGCAAGAGAGAGCATCAAAGAGCGAGGAGGTGAGGAACCTCCCCCAAAGAGCTGTAACACCAGTCGAAAGCTGGGAAATGAAGACAGAGACCCAGAAGGATCCTGCAGCAGAACACACAGCGACCGACCCGGAAGGCGTCCTGTGGCATAGTTGGCAGTGATAGCAAAAACCTGCTGCTGGGAATGCTGGGAAGAGAGCTGAACAAAGCTGCTAGACTGGTTGTGAGCTAAGTTAGTTAGCAATGGAGGGGAATGTCGCAGGAGGCCAAAGACAGAGGCCTGCAGCTGAGACGGGGCGTGCATGGCCAACAGAGACCTGTCCTGAGGGGGCCGAGAGGAGGTCTGCACGGCTGAAAGAGACATGTCCAGCTGAGAGGAGCCCGTCCTGAGGGGGCCAAGAGTGTTGTGCATGGCAGAGACCAGATGAGAGAGCTGTCTTGCTCCGGAAAGATGTGTTCTCCACTTTGGAGAGCCTTCTAGACTTTGCCTACATGCTTCACGTTACTGATCCTGAGTTGTAGCCTATTGATCCTTATCCTGAGTTGGACCCTGTTACTTCCTTAATAAACCACACTTAACTGAAGTATGATCAGTGAGTTCTGTGTAGCTGTTGCAATGAATTACTCAACCCAGAAGAGAAGCGGAGAGTGATGTGGGAAGGTTGGCTGTTGTCAAGATTGGTAAAAAGTTTGGCGTGTAGAGGTACGTCTGACCTCTTCCTCGTAAGAATTATCTTTGGGCTGATAGTTGGTCTCCGTCCTCCTGAAGTTAGAGACTCCAGGTGCTATGAGCACATTACAATTTCCTAATTTCCAAAATTACAGGATTTTTCTAGCTATTTTTTCTTATTGAAATGCTGGAAACAAATTATCTAAAACTGCAGAATAAATCAAAACAGAATAAAGAAAAGAGCAGAAATTAATTAAATAGAAAAATGGAGTACATGAACAAAGCCAAAATTCAGTATTAAATGCAAAGCTGTTCAGTAGGAGAAAGGAAGGTCAAACAGTGAGGCTCAGACAATTGGATATCCACAGGCAAGAAGACTATTACTTCATACCACACAAAATATTAACTCAAAATGGATTATGAAACTAAAGTAACCATATAAATGATAAACCTTTTATAAGAAAACACAGGAGAAAATCTTTGTGACTGTCAATTCATGAACGTGTACTTAGAACCAAGAGAAATGAACACACAGAGTAGTATGCAGATGTTCATAGCTGCATTATTTATAATACAATAAAAACGTTTGAAATATGTCGACATTTATACCACAATGTGGGAAACTTGAAAAATAGTCTAGAAGTGCTTAAAAGTCTGAATTGTCCAGAGTTTTGGTATATGAAACAAAAATATTGTCTGCGATGCAGTATAAGGACGTGTCTGCATTCCCGAGGAATAAGAATCAGTATCAGTACAAGCTGGTTGCTGTGAGGTGGAGGTCAGACTACCTCTGCTCTCCGACTTAGTCACCATTTCTAGCACCATTGGTCCCTTCTACACCATGCCCTTCTTCACTGCTGGGTCCAAGAATTGGTTGTAGTGGCCACACAGAACTAATATGGTTTATTGGGGAAATGACAGGCTACAACCTGGGATCAGGATCAACTTGGAAGTAAGAGGAACAACTCGGGATCAATATTAGGAAGCACATGGGTGAGGCCTGGGATGCTCTCCGAAGTGGAACATTGCTCCCTTCACCAACAGAGGACAGCTTCCAACCACAGCTTTCAGCTGCCCTCTGGCATCAGCCTCTCCGACGTCAGCCTCTTTGCTACTAACTGCCCCAGGTCACAGCAAGTGTAGCACCTTTGGGACTCTCGGGCCCTGCATGGTTCTGCTCCTCTGCTAGCTCAGCCGTGGTGCAGTGAATCACCTGGTATGGCTTTTCTAGGTTTTTCTCTAGTCCTTGTAACTCCCACCAGATTACTGGGTGAGACAATGGAAATAAAGTGCGTAGAACTCCGATATTGGGATTGGTTAGGTTTGTCATTCTGCCGGCCTTCAAATGACCCTTCCTAGAGGCAGAAAGGAGGATCTCACTGCATCAAGAGAGAAGAGCTGGAGGTGAAATGGATCGTGTCCTTGGACCCAAGATCCCTGTGCTGGACCTCTGTGGTAGTTATGTTTGTGTGTCAGCTTGGCTGGGCCTGGTTGAGTGGCTGGGCAGCTGGTGGTAGTTATTCCCCATGATGAGACTGGCAATCAGCTCCATGGTGGGATCTACCACAA